ATTGATTTATGCCCATTGCACCTGCTAAAAGCTTAAAGAACAAAGAACAATATAGCACAGGAACAGGCCCTTCAGCCCTCCAAGCCGGTTCTGCCACATTTTGCCTTTCCATACTAAAACTGTCTTCACTCACTTCACTTCATCTATTCCCTTCCTTTTCATGTATTTCTCCAGTGCTTCTTGAATGCTGCTATTATGTCTGCTTCCACCACCTCCTCTGGCAACGAGTTCCAGGCACTCACCACCCATCGTGTGAAAAACTTGCGTCGCACATCTCTTTTAAACTCCACCCCCCACCGCACCTTAAACCTGTGTGTCCCAGTAATTGACCCTTCCACCCTGAGAAAAAGCCTCATACTTTCCACTCTATCCCTGCCATTCACAATCTTATAAGCTCCTATTAGGTCGCCCCTCAACCTTCTGCATTCCAGTGAAAACAAACCCAGTCTTGCCAAAGTTTCTTCATAGCTAAAATCCCTCACACCACGTAACATCCTGGTAACCATTTTCTGTACCCTCTCCAAAGCATCCACATCTTTCTGGTAACATGGTGACCAGAACTGTACTTAATACTCCAAGTGTGGCCTTACTAAATTTCTATAAAGTTACAGCATAACTTGTCTATCCTCAAACTCAATGCCCCTCCCAATGAAGGCTAGTATGCCATAAGCCTTTTTAAGTACCTTATCTACTTGCGCTGTCACCTTCAGTGATCGGTGCACCTGCATACCCAGATCCCTCTGCATATCAGTACTTTTAAGGGTTCTGCCATTCACTGTATCATTTCCACTTGAACTTCCAAAATGCATCACCTCACATTTATCTGGATTAAACTCCATTTTTCTGCCCATGCCTCCAACTAATCGATATCCTACTGTATCCTCTGACAGTCCTCCTCATTATCCGCAATTCCACCAAGCTTTGTATCGTCCACAAACTTACTAGTTAGGCCAGTTACATTTTCCTCCAAATCATTTATGTAGATCACAAACAGCAGAGGTCCCAGCACTGATCTCTCTTTTCCTGTATTTCTAGTCCTGAATATTCCTAAACATCAGTGGTTCCCTAGGCTTGTTGCTCTAACATGTCACCCTAAAGGAAACATTTTGGGCCTGTAGTCTCTCAAATTCCTTTTTGAACACCCCAATTGTTCTAAAATTTTCTCAGAAGGAACTGCTCCTAGTCTAATTTGGCTCGATCGTCTTATTTTAATAAAATCCACCTCTGCTCAATCCAAACCCCTTTTTTGCAGACCATTCCTTTCCTTTTCCTTAACAAATTTAAATCATGCTGTTTGTGGTCATGATCACTAAAATGCTCCTCCACTGCCACCTCAACCGCCTGCTGGCTTCATGCCCCAGAATTAGGTCTAGCATTGTCCTGTCTCTTGTTGAACCTTCTGTATGTTGGCATAAAATGTATCCTGAATACATTTCAAGAAATTCACCCCTTCTAAACCCTAGACTATATCAGTTAATGGTCAGGAAGTTGAAATTTCTGAATATAATGACTATTATTCTTATTACACACCTCAGTGAATTGTCATTGTAGTTGCTCCTCAATTACCCATTACCTGTTTGGAGGCCTATAATACACTGCATTCAACACGACTGCAGCCCTTTGTTTTCCCCATAAGCTCTACCCACATAGGTCCCCTTAAAGACCCTTCCAAGATATCATCACTCCTCGTGGCAGTAAATGACTTAATAATGCAACACCACTTCCTCTCTTATGCCCTTGTCTGAAGATCCAACATTCTAGAATGTCGAATTGTCATTCCTGCCCTTTTCTGAATCTCATCTCTACGATAATATCACAAGTCACACATCAATTCACACCCTTAACTCATCCTTCTTACCTACAAAACTGCCAGCATTAGATTCAATCTAGCTTCACCTTACTCTCTTGAATTGCAACATGTCTTAATTCTCTCTGCCCTGGTTCCTTTACTATATCATACTGTGCCTGATTACAATGCCGAACCAGTTTAAACTGCAAACAATACTGGCAAACCTACCTGCAAGGGTATTGGTCCCATTTTGGTTCAGGTGCAGACCACCTGCTTGTATAGGTCCCACCTTCTCCAGAAACAGCTGTAGTGGTCCAAGACTCAAAATCCCTCCCTCCTGCACCAACTCTTGAGCCAGGAGTTCATCACCTCTATTCTCTTATTTCTGTACTCGCAAGCAAATAGCATCATGGTAATCCAGAGACATCCTGCTTTTTATCTACTGCCTAGCTTGCTAAACTCTTGATGCAAGATATCATCCCCCATTCTACATATATCATTAATATGAACATTTACCATGACCACTAAATTAACATTCTCCTCTTCAGGATGCCCTGCAGCCAGTTACATCCCTGACCCAGGCATCAGGGAGGAACACACCACTTGCTGGAGGTTATGTCCATAGCTGCAAAAACACCTGTCTGCACACCTATTGAGTCTTTCCCTTGGACTCTGGTTCCTCCTTGTGCAGCTGGGCCACCCAGCTGTGAACTTTGCTTTTGCTGTGTTTCCCATTGGAATCTTCACTGTCATCATTTTCCAACACAGAAAAAAAATCATCACTGGGATGCCCTCTGCAGTTTTCCTGTCTGTCTGTCTCACTGCTTTCCTCTGCCTGGTGGTCATCCATTCCCTCGCTGATATTTCAAAGAAGCTGCAGGCGATGGCCTGAGCTCTCCTGCCATATTCAGCTAAATTTAAAGAACCTGGTCTTTAAGAGTACTGGAAAAAAATCTCTTACTCTGTAGATCCTATATGCAAAGAAAAACCAAAGATCATGCAAAAAAGTATAAATCACAATAGATTAGAAAATAGTAAAGTCAAAATGTAAAAAGAAATACTCACGTACTATTTACCCAACATGTCACACTGGCACATTCACTCAAAATGTGCATGGACATTTTGGATTCAATGGTGGTACTATCCAGGAAAGGCATATCATCTAAATGGCCTATATCAACTTCTGGTCCTGCTCAAGGTCATCCACTCCATTCATTGGGTATTTGTGGTGAGGAGAATTAGAAATTTGTCAGTGCATCACATTATTTGCTGTTGCTGCCCCCAAAGGTATTCTTTTATAATAATCTGTGGAGTGTAGCAACCATGTCTAACTGAGCACAACTTGAAATGGCTGCACCTTCTCACACAAACCACCATCTGTGCCATCACCATCTTCATAAAAACAAAGAAATTAGAAGTGGCCACTTGTCTCCTGGAGTCTGCTTTACCATTCAAATCATGGCTAATCCGATTATTCCACATTCGATCTATCCTGGATATCTCTTCACCCAATTAACTATCAACAGTCTACTGACCTTTGCTTTTAAAAAATAGTCAAAGGCTCTATTCCCACTGGCGTTTGAGGAAGACAGTGCCAAAGACCCTCCCACTCACAAAGGATCAAGCAAAAATCCCCAATATTTCAAATACAGGACAAAACCTTGGACTTTTCAAATCTTTTAGAAGGGACAGCTGGACTGAGTTCTGTGGGAAATACATTAACACAACCCACCTCATGGAGATTGCTGTCTGGAACTATTGTTCAGCCTGGAATTCCAATTTACACCTCCACTCTAAAAAGGACAATCAACCGAAAACAACAGACTCCAGCTCAAGACAGCTTTTATACCTCAGGCCTGCAGAGATACCAGACATGCAACCTCAATCAAAATCCATTCACACATACTCTAACGATCAGCCAAATAACTTCAGAAGGAAATACCATAGTACAACGAAAATCACAGATTTGGTGCAGAGATAAGGGGCCCACAATCGGTATAATTGCCAGCCCTGATCTCATCTGCAACAACTATCCGAACAAGAGCTACCAGACACAGCCTGTTCTGAAACAAGAGAACTGACAGCAAGAACCACAGCAACCGACCACGGCAGAATTAAAGTGCAACAACTCTGAGAAACAACCAACTCAACCAACACTGCAAGTCCTCAGACACAACCTGAGGTGAAACCAGCAGAAAGTAAAGAAAACCAGGTACTTACTTGAAAGATTCAATAGATAGCAGGAACTGCAGATGCTGGAGAATGTGAGATAACAAGGTGCAGAGCTGGATGAACACAGCAGGCCAAGCAGCATCAGAGGAGCAGAAAAGCTGAC